ACGCATCATGGGGTAATTGGAATCACGGGGTGTGGGGTAATTGGAATCACCATTATTCCAATTAAAGTAATTTGGTAATTAATTAATAATTTTAAATTACTTAATTAAAATTATAAAGTAATTATTAGGTAATTATTAAATAAATATTAATTAATTAATATTTTTTATTACTTAATAATAATATTTTTTTCTAATAATAAGTAACTTGATTTTTATAAGTAATTTCCAAAATAAGTAATTTGGCTCAGCTCAAAAACATAATTCAAACATTTGAAAACTGATAACATGGAATATATCCCAATTGCCCCAGAACTGATCTATATAGAAGCATTTAGAAAATACCAACTGTGATTCCATTTGCCTCGGTGTGGTAGGAATATTAGGATCACGCGCAAGGGTTTTGAAGAATATTTTTTTCCATACTTTTACTTTACCTAAAAATTGGAAATTAATTCAGCAATCACTTAAGATACCAATTTATTTGTGTGCAAAGTTGCATGGCTCTATCCTGACTAATAAAAAAACCGTGTCACTTCAAAAATGAATTATATGATTTTCTGATCCCAATTACCCCACTTGACCCTAATGGAATGTAAAGTTTCCGTGAAATTAATGTCTTACATTTCTTGCTATAACTTTTTGAAAATTCGTCCTATCACAGTCGGATTTCCGGCATTAATTTCCTTTTTAAAACTCTTTAAAATGATGGGAGGAGAATTTAAATATACCACCAAAAAGTACTTGGGTAATGCCCTAGTAACGTGTATTGAAGCTTGTTTGAGTATATATGCAGCAATTCAAAAATTAACCAGGGGGGAGTATTATGGAACACCCGGTATATAGTTTTAACTGACTATTCAATTCCCGTACAGGTAGGACGGGCCCAATACCCCCGCCACAGCAAACCTGCAAACTAAGCAAATTTCCATTTGCCTGTTTGGATTTACACAAAAATATCTCCTTAAAAATATTACATTTATTCCCCATTTAAATAACATTAGTTTAATGAGTACTGAAGCTTGCTGCAAAAGAGAGGGTTATAAAGTGTTTTTTGTAAAATTTTAATATGTAGCCTATATGAAATTGAAATAAATGCATTTTCCAAATTTTGATCAAAATATGTTCATAAACAAGCAAACAGTTTACTTATTCTACACATGAATAACATTGGGATTTTAAATTCATGTTTTTGAATTTTCTTTGTAACTATTAGCTTTAATATACTAAATAATTTGTTATGTTAATCTCTACAAAATGGTCTGGAAAGAATTTTTAACTTTTATGTTTTTAGGGTCAAAAGCCAATTTTTACCCCATAAAACTTCTCATAAACCCCCGTTCCCATGGTCTGATCATGCTGGTTCGCGAACTCGTTCAAATAAATGTAGGTGTACACGTTTATTCCATAAAATATCATCAAAATTGGATAATTGTTTCTTGAGTTATCATGCTAACGGACACTTACATATATATATATTTGAACGGATGGTTTTTTTGCCTTTAGGGACCTCAAAACAAAAAAGAAAATCGGTCCCGGGTCCAGGTCTTACCATGAGTACTTCCCTATGGGAAATTCGCTAAAAATAATTATCAACTACAGCTGATGCTAATATAATAATAATAATGATTTTCAAATTAACATGGGAACGAGAACTACATTTTTGACATCTTCCTTTCCTTCTTTTTCTAGTCACATCATTTTTGTCGTTGGTTATTTGGTCTACAACATGAGGAATACCAATTTAGCATATTTTTGGGTACATCATTACGTTTTCTGTTTTGGTCGTCTCACTACGCCGGAACATGCCTTCACTTGTGTTTTCTGCATAAGATCATGGGCTTGAGCTCTTTGGTATAGTTGTAAGTAGATAGGTACAGTTCGGCCAAAACTTCTGTGCGCGTGGACGGGTCGCTACTAGCCGAACTAAAACACACGGGTAACGGTTATTGGAAGTGCTAAGGGTAGGGGTGAGTGAGTAGCAAGACATAAATTGTTCAGTGTACTTATTCAACCCCACATTATTTATTTTAAAACTCTTTGATTTAATATGTTCATATTCATTTTACCAGCTGTTTAATTATTGATTGATACTGTTTATATCTCAGTGATAAAAACGTTTCTTTCTCAAAATACAGTTCAACTATTTTTCAATCTATTATTTATTTTATTTCTCATCTAAAATACAGTCCACTTTATTAACTATCACACACATGTTTCCAGAAAAGTATCCCCGCCAACCCCCTCGCCTATACCCAACAAGATCTGGTCACGCGCGCACAGAAACTTTGGCCGAACTATACTGTTCCCTAAATCTCTTGTTGTCTACCATCTTAGGTTAAGAACTTGTGTCAATGAAGATAATCAATTTCGTAGTCTTCTCCCTATTTACAACTCTGAGGGGCAGCACCCAGAAGGACCTGGATTTGATCTGTATTATAGTGTAGTGCAAAGGTTAGATAGCAACCCAATAGGGTGAAAGTTTTTGCAGAATCTCAAAGCTGTTGCTCAAACTGTTAACCCTCAAGTTAAAACGCTTCTCCAGTAAAACGGGAGCGGGCGCATGCGGAGTTTTATTCCGCAACACTAAATAGCACAAATTTAACTCATTTTACTTGTTGTTATAACGAAATATTATATGTAAGTGTTGAATAACCTAATCAGAAACCTAATTTCTTTGTTAATACCATTATTTGTTTAACTTAATATGAGTAATATTTCAAAGAAACATATTGAGCAATTTTCTAGTATAAAGGTATGTTACGAGAGAGGGCGCTTGTGGAGTTTTGTTCCGCAATAATGCAATTATACATATACATGCAAACAAAATATATTTGATAATAATTATAAATGAAATAATACATTTAAACAAGTTTATAATGTTGTAGGTATGTATAAAATATACACGCAGTTTGACAAGCGTGCATGAGGAAATAAACTCTGCGCTAAGGACTTATGTGATAGGGCGCACGCGGAGTAAACCTCCGCAAACTGACACTGCGTCACTGAATTGCAGCTGACAACAAAATGAGGAGGAATTCGGGGGTAAAAATAGCTTAGGAACATTCCCAGGATGAGGTGCGTGAAGTGTAGAGCTGGACACGACTGCCGACACCCATTATGCATATTTATATTAACAAACACTACAAGTGCGGAGGAAAACTCGCCCGCTCGAGGGTTCAGGAGTTTTGAATGTTTTTGTTAATACTTTAATACTTTCTTATGAAACGGTAACCATACAAAATAGGTATTTTAAGCCAAATATTAAAAACACATACAGACATCAGACAGTCACTAAACGAAAAGAGATAAGACATACGGTAATTTCTTTTTTATTTTGACCCAAGGAATCACTATGCAAATTATGTCCCCACCTTTTTTGAACACCTGTAGAACGTGTGTTACGATACTACGAATACAAAAGTTGTACATACTCATTGGTTACAACTTTTTAGATTGTAGAAAATTATATTACTAACAAAGTTATCAACCAGCTGACCTTTAAAGTACTGTTAGTGTTCAGTCATGTTTAAGCCGGCTTTTCCCAGGCGTGGAAGAGGAGCGCGGAGAGCGGAAAAGAGATTAACATGGTGTTCTGCTCCGCTTCTAGGAAAACAGTGACATAAAATTGCCTAATACAGGGTGGGGCAGGGAATTATCCCTACTTTTAAGATGGTACTGTGAGTAGTGGGGGTGTGCTGGAGGAATGGGGTTAGGCTCAAATGAAGCTTTTGTTTTGGGAATTTCTAAAAATATCACTATCAGTAGTAGATATGGCTTGTTCGAGTGACCAATGTGCTTTTGCAGTCGAGATGTATTTTTTTCAAAAATCTGTCTATTGTTGCTGTGAAGCTACCATTGCCTGTCGGGTTATCGGGTGGCCTGTCGCAAAGCTGTTACAATTTGGTGTGGGTGAATTACTTTCGTGTATGTGGTGGTGTATTGCGAAGGATATTTGGAGCTCAAAGAACGGTCCGGAGTCCTGAAAACATTGACCTTGTCAGAAGATCGATTTTGCAATCTCCTCAAAGTTCTCCTTGTAAGCATGCATCCGCGTTGGCGTTGTCTAATCGTACTGTGCCTCGTATTCTCCATGAGGACTTACACCTCCATCAATACAAGAGGGTAGTTGCTCACAAACTCACACAACGGGACTGGCAACAACGAATGCAGGCATGTGAAATCTTAATTGCGGGACTACCTCATGCTGCTCGGGGTTTGTTTAGTGACGAGGCACACTTCCATATTCCTGGAGCGGGTAAATAAGCAGAATTTGCTCTATTGGAGTGATGCTAAGCCTTGGGTAGTTCAAGGGAAGACCCTAGATGCCTTGAAGGATGCAATTCACCTTGAATGTTGCCTCTTTCCACAACAAACGCTTCACAAAGTTATAATGAACTCCAGAACCAGAATACAGTAATGCATTTAAGATTAGGGACAAAACTTGCAGGATATGCTGTTTAAAACCAAGTAAAGTTATATTAAAATAAACTCTCAGATGTAACCTTTTAATCTCAATAAAAAGTTTGGCTCTAACATTTTTGGTTGTCTTTTAATTTACCTTTAAAATTAGGGATACTTCCCTGCCCCACCCTTTACAAGTGGAATCTGCTCTCCGCGTTACACGTTCCGCACTCCAAAACTTGGCTTTAAAATATTGTTAAACCAATTATCGGTCCTAAACTAACAAATAATATTTTATGTGATTTAAAACCAAAAAATGTTTGTTTAATGTGTTATTTGCATTGTGTGATGAATTTGCCCTCCTCGGCTTTGCATCGCTTGTAAACACTATCTCGCCCCGAAATGGGCCACTTTTTGAGAATAGTAGTTAAGTATAGGCCTACTTATTTCATATGTATGGCTGAATATGAAACTGCTGAGCAAACTATTACTTCAGACAAAGTAGGAAAAAATCAAGGGATAATGTGTGTGTCTATATTGAACGGATGACAGGTAAGGTTACCGTTGATGACATGTTTTCCTGTCAATATTTGTACAGTGTTAGAACCACACGGATATGAAATGTGATAAAAGGCAGAAGTCATTACAGAGCTATTTAGTGGCCCAAAACTAAAATGGGGTTCAGAGTAGCATTAATTTTTGTGTCAACTTTGTTCATTGCTGTAATAGTAAGTATAATACAAAATCTTATATCCGTTTAATAATTTACATGCTATATACAATCGAGAACGTTTCAAAAGATTTTTTGATATATGTATTATAACAAAAAATTTATTTATTAATTCTCGAACAAGCAGAATTTAAAAAATTTCCCATCATGGGGTTGCGGCATTATCACTTGGATAAAATCCATTGGTGACTTGGCGGGGATCAAACCTTGGACCTCAGGGACTGAAGTCCCGCGCTCTAACCACTACGCCAACTCGCTCCCCATAAAGTAACTAACTAGTAAGACTGATACTACTCAAACACACACAGTGACATACTCAATTGGTCTCTAGAAATTCTTGCCAGATTGATTTAAAGTTTTATTGTAAAAGAGATTCTTTAGCACTTTAGCATCCATTCCTTTCAAGTTTGTAACTCAAAAATTAATGTTTAGCGTACTCACTAAACTAGTCAATGCTAAAGTCAAGAAGTAATAAAATCCTTACTCATAAATGAGCAATATGATATGAATCAAAGTGTTGTTGTTAATGCATGATTTATTAATTCAATATTAATTCAAAATATAATTTTAAAATACCTCCGCCGCAGCAAACCTGCAGACCAAGCCAATTTCCATTTGCCTGATTGGATTTACACTAAAATGTCTTCTTAAAAATATCACATTTATTCCTTATTTAAATATAATTACTTTAACGAGTACTTAGGTTTGCTGCATCAGGGAGGGTAAAACTGTTTTTTTTTTTTTTTTTTTTTTTTTTTGTAAGATGTTAATAGTTTTAGTTAGAAATAAAAAAATTTTCCAAATTTGATCAAAATATGTTCATAAACATGCAAACTACAACAGTTTAATTATTCTCCTTAAGAATAAAATGGGAATTTTAAATAAAATATTTTTTGGAATTTTCTCCGCTTCGTATATTAATTATATGTTTTTTAAGCTCTACAAAATGGTTTGGAAAGAAATTGCAAAATTTTATGTTCTTTTAGTCAAAAATGGGAAAAACCAATTTTTACCCCATAAACCCCCTTTCCTATAGTCCGATCATGCTGGTTCGTGAACTCATTCCAATAAATGTAGATTTAAACGTTTATACTAAATTTCATCAAAATCGGATCATTTTTGCCTGAGTTATGGTGCTAACGGACACACACACACACACACACATATACAGTATATGTATTATATGAATTTGAACGAATGGTGTTTTTAGCCTCTATAGGGACCTCAAAACGAAAAAGTAAATCGGTCCCGGGTCCAGGTATTATAAGTACTATGGTAATAGCTTATTCCCTATATGGTAAATTTGCTAAAAAAAGATAATCTATTGCATATGGTAATTTGTTAGTGTTAAGTAAGATACTAAGCTATAAAACTTAAGATAAGTTTCCGCGGTACACTCCTATGCTCCTATTGTAAGTTAAGATAGCCTAAAAATTTTTAATTATGCGATTCTTACAAAGAATAATTGCTAGCAAGACTCTGTGAGGAAGATTTATTTAAATTAAAACTAAATTATTCATTGCTTATAGTTGTACAATTTTATCCGTCGAATACTTTAAATATATTTACCCCAATTTAAAAAATATATGTTCATACATTCTATGGAATACTGAAGTATTTCTGTGTATCATGTCTGCATTGTCAATAAATAATAAAATAAGTTGTTGAAATGTGCTGTATAAAATTGATTAATTTACATTTTGTTTGTTCTCAATATAATTTTTAATTTCAGGCTAATGGAACTAAGTCAAACCAAGAAAATAATAACATTTATGAAAGTCAAAGTTCAGAACATGTAAATAATGCTGGCAAAGAACTAAATAAAGAGTCTATTAAAAGCCTGAGTAAAAAATGTTTTGTACCTACTGAAGCAAGTAGAATAAGACAAATCGGTTCCAGATTGAACCGAGCTCAGGAAAAACAAACACAACAAGAGCTAGACTTGGTACTAGCAACAACTAAACTAGCTGAGCTTGAAAAATTGAAAGACACAGAAAAAATCTCTGATTCTACTCCAACAAACAATCTCACATCCTTGCAAAGGTTTATTTTGTCTGAAATTGCAACAACTAAAGCACAAATAGAAGATTTGACTGTAGAAGTTGCAGTGGGGAAAACCTCAATCGAACAACTCAAAATAATACTTGTGGCCAATGGTGGTTCTGTCGATACCATTTCAAAAAATGATATCGCAATAATAAAAAGGAACTTAGAAAATAGATTAAAACGTGCACAAGTAGAGCTAGAAAATACTAATACTCGTCTTGCTACTATGACTAGTCAGGTTGAGCAGCTGGAGAGCGAGAAGACTGCTCAGAATATTAACACTGACAACGGAACAGCCAATCTGACACATGCTCAAAGACGTCTGCTAGGTAGACTTGAATCAGCCAAGAAGGTCAAGTATGGATTGACACTGCAATCTGCTATGACAAATGAACGTATTCAACAATTTCAGCTACAGATAAACGAACTTACAACATCATCCAATGAGGGTACTGGTACTAGCTCTGCAACCACACCAGTCAACACTGGTTCAGGCACCACCAACACTGGCTCAGGCACCACCAACACTGGCTCAGGCACCACCAACACAGGTTCAGGCACCACCAACACTGGCTCAGACACCACCAACACTGGTAACCAGTCAACAGACTCCAATACTGGTACATCAGATGCTCCCTTAGTTAGCTCATAATTGAGTAATAAAAATTTCATTGATTAATAAATGTATAAGTTTATATATTATAAAGCTTACTTTAATTTATACCTATTGCTCTTAATGGAATATTTGACTGTAGACATAGCTGTGGGGAAAACCTCAATAAAACAACTGAAAATTGTACAACTGAACAAATGAAAATAATAATTGAGGCTAATGGTGGTTCTGTCTTATAGTAGTAAACCTATTTAAAAAATGATATTTCAATTATACTCCTGCCGCAGCAAATCTGCAATATGAGCGAATTTCCATTTACATTATTTCAACATAATATCATAGACAAAAAGAATTAAATATAGACCGTCAGCTATGCTGCGGTTACCATAGGTTCTGGCGCACACCGCTTGGAGCACCACCGTAGTTACGGCGTACGCGCTACGTAAACTGCAGCGGTGTGTGCCGGAACCTATGGTAACCATGGCAACCACAGCACGGCTGACAGTCTATATTTAATTCTTTTTGTCTATGATAATATACACAGGGTGTTTGGTAGTCAGTGCGTCAAATATTTTAAGGCATTATTATGCATGCAAATTGCAATAAAAATACGCAATTTAGATAGTTATAACTCACTCCTACTTCCGGCAACAGCCATTTTGAAATATTTCTAAATTTCTTGATATTGTCTTATAAAATCTCATATTTCTTAACTTTTAGCCTACATAATGATATTTTCAATGGTATTTTGTGAATCTTCATTAAATTTTCTATCGGAAAACATATAATACAGTACAGCTAAACCCATTTCAAATCTTGTAAATTTGACCTTAATAACAAATTTTGAAAAATTAATAAAAAGGGCGATATAACTTGCTTAAGAAACTTTTTGTTCAAGTCGTGTTAAAAACTGTTAAATGGTATAAAAAACCTCCACATATTAAGCTTTTAAATTATATGCAACATGTGACATGTCATGTCAGTCTAAGGGGAGAAATCCAAAACTAGTTGTAGTGTATTGAATGCCACGTAAAAGTAGTGATATTTATAAATACATACGTTAGTTGTGATTTCAAAGATACTGATACAATGTTATTTAGATTATTTCTACCGTTTCAAATACAAGGCAGGTAGTATTTAAAGCTTCACCTTAAGAATCTTAAATTCGAATTATGGCTGATGCATGTTCTTGATTCATATGCTGCACACGTAAATTATTTAACTAAAATTTATTTTATGGACACGTCTTTATTGTTCGACAAACTTAATTGACAAACCTATCATGGTTTTTGCAGCATACCTTACCGGCAGTCTTGGATTACTTAGATTTTGGTCAAACTGAAATAGAAAGTATACAATTTCAAAATAGCACTCCTCTATATTACACTAATGAAGTAAGTGACTATATTTAGATCTGCGGAATTTTGGACGAGGCAGACCCTTTGCATGGGCGCAGCCAGATTCCCTGATATTATGCCTATTTTATTCCTTGTTTGGGTATTCCTTAAAAGTGAAGTGTACTACAGACGTATACAGTGAAGGGAACCTGAGAAAGCTGTATAATTGACAAAAGTTGTACAAAAGTTGAGAGGAACCCTATCCTATAAGATTACAGTTGCAGCAATAAAGAAAAGCTAATGAACATGCAAAGTCAGGTAGTTTTAACCACATACTTCAAATTCTCAAGGTGCAGCTTTTCCACGTTTTTCTCTGTTTTCAATTAAATTAAATAATATTACCTTGTATTTCAAAACTTATTCTGTAAAAAAACTTAGATTGCAAATATAATATTAATTAACACTAATACCGAAACCCCGGTCTGACAGGCCCACGGGAATTTTCAAAAACGCATGTTGGCAACACTGTTTACTTGGTAGATTCCATTCCCCCAATACCTTCCCCCCTTTTCCTCCCCTACCTATTGATATATCGTTTGTTCATTTTGCATGGGTGCCGTGACCTTGACAGGTCGTCTGTTCATAACATGTCCGTCTCAGAAGCCCAAAGTTAGTGTATTTTAAAGCGGGGTCTCACAGACAGAGGGTTTCGGTTTGTGTGTTTCTAAGCAAAATCCATTATTTTTCAAATGGGGTCTCACAGACCGGGGGTTTCGGTTAACGTCAGCCTATGTGGGGTTTCGGTATTAGTGTTAATTATGTTCTTCTTTTAATTACTTCTAAATTGTGTACATATTTATAAAATACTCTATACTAACCTGGTATTCAATAATTCAAAGCCCTTTGTACTATGGTATTCAAGATGTACTAGAATATCAGATTTTATAAGTTTACTTGGGGTATACTTATAATTATATACGTATAATTATACAGCTACCTTTTGCACACAACTTTCACTGAATGGGTTTTTGTAATTAATGTGTGCAGTTAATGAATAAATTATTAAATTTATGTTTAACGCAATATATTCCTCCCCTTAGGCTGACACAACATGGCACATGTTGCATATAATTTTAAAGCTTAAAATGTGGAGATTTTTTTTTTATACTACAGTAGACTCCCCTCTTATCTGGACTCCTTGGGACCAAGGCCAGTCCGGATAACGGTTTTTCCGGTTAAGCCGACATCCCCAAAAACTCATTAAAATGGACCGTTTACGGTGATATTCGACTTAAATTTAGGAGAGCATTGTATTTAGACATGTGATCACTGGTCTCAAATCTTTCCCACGAGAACAGTCGTTACAGTACCACCCACTTCCTGCCGATCTAGTCCGGTTAAACCAATGTGCCGATAATAATTGTCCGGTTAAAGAGATACCAGCTTCAGTTCGATGTCACTATATGCAGATGATGCTAATTTAATTGTTAAAGGAAATTCCAATTCTGATATTGAGCTCTCAGCCAATTTGGACTTAATGAGTATTCAAAATTTTTAAAATCAAAATAACCTTCTATTAAATACAAGCAAATCAATGATAGTAAGTTTCTCCACAAAACAAAATAAAATAGCTCTGGATCCAAAAATCAAAGTTGGCAATAACATAATAAATAAAGCAAATAAGACAAAATTTTTAGGACTTTTCATTGATCGACATCTATCTTGGAATGATCATGTTGATAATGTAGTGAAAAAGATGTCATCAGGAATATATGCACTGTGGCAAATGTCAAAAATATCTGACCTTACAGTGCTGAAAACAATATATTATTCTTTAATACACTCTCATCTGGCATACGGAATTTGTATATATGGAGCTACCTCAATATATAATTTGGACAAAATTCTGATAAAACAAAAAAAAGCAATACGAATCATGTTAGGTTTAAAAAGCACAGAGAGACTTATTTAAAGATTTAGAACTTATTTAAAGATCTTAAAATTTTGACAGTTTACAGTCTTTATGTCTTAGAAACAATAAAGTATGTCAAAGAACATGAAAGTGATATATTTTTTGAATCCAAGCATCATTATGATACCCGAAATAAAATTATTTTTGATAAACATAATCTGCATTTTTATAAAAACTAAACTAAATATATGGGCACCACATTTTACTCAGTTGCCAAATTTAATTAGAAATGAGCAAAATTACAATAAATTTAAAAAATTGCTGAAAGAATATCTTCTTAATAAAGCTCTCTATTCTTTTTCGGAGTTTCCTTAAGTGAGGGCTCCACTACTGGTTGCCTGGGTTTTATATAGAGTTTTAAATATATTGTATTTTAGCTATATAGCATGAAAGTATGGGATTTTTAGTTATATGTGACTCTATTCTGATGCTGCAATGTATTCATACGAATAAAGTTTATTTTGACTTTGACTTTGACTTTGAGAGATGTCATTTCCGTCGACTGTAGTCCGGATGAGAGGGAGTCTACTGTATTTGACAGTTTTTGACACGACTCGATAAAAAAGTTGATTAAGCGAGTTGTTGGGCCCTTTTTATTGATTTTTCAAAATTTGGTATTTAAGTCTAATTAACAAGATTTAATATGAAATTTAATGACTATTCTAAAAATGCCATTGAAAATATCATAATGTAGGCTGAAAGTTGAGAAATATGAGATTTTATTAGGCAATGTTAAGAAATTTGGAAAAATATAAAAATGGCTGTTGCTGGAAGTAGGAGTGAGATATAACTATCCAAACTGCATATTTTTAATGCAATTTTTGTGCATAATAATGCCTGTAGCCCTGCTGACTACCAAACACCCTGTAGCCTATATATGTGTTCATTAAAATATCTCCTTTAAAAATATAAATTTTTTTCCCTATTTAAATATCAGTATCGAGGGGACATAAGAGCCATGATTTGGTATAGGTAGTTTATTTTGACTGTACATAAAAGCAATATTAGCGAAACTAACGTTTTATAATAACGACTCTGTAATATAAAAGTATGCAATAAAAATAAGGATAAACATTTATAATCTTTCTTAAGTTTTATTAACATTTATCATGAAAAATACTATTAGTAATGTATGGGGTGTGATATATTTCTTGGTACTAAACTAAATCCTCTAAAGTAAAAGTAAAACTTCAGCATGAGCATACTCAAATTACTTTTATATGATGGGTTTGCTGAAGACAATACATTCAATCGTAGGCCTACATATTGTTGTTGTACTCTAGGCCTATAAAGATCATTGTAATACGAAAAAATATGATTAACTTTAATGCTAATTCAACTGAATACAGCTGTCAAAATTATGTAAACTGTAAACTATAAAAAAGGGTGCATAAAATTGTAAAATCTGAGGTGACGCCAGTGCACTCAAACGTCACCAACACAAAACACTCATCAACACTTGCTCTATTTTCTCCTATATCAAGTAATCAGTGTAATATTTGCTCACAATGTAACTGATGTTTTTTCCTTTGTTTTTTTTTTTTTTTTTTAACAAGTATTTATTTACAATCTATTCAAAACGAGAATAATAAGTAAATTCAATAACCATTTTAACATGGGTTAGTTACACTCCATCAAGTGCACTAACATACAAAAACTTTTAAAAAGTTTAACTAAAAACGATTTGGAAGGTCTATTGGATTAACTCTTTTGAGCCTATATGTAGCTTCACTATTGTCGAGGAGGTTAACAGCCAGGAAATTTGGATGGGTTTCTAATTTTCT